TCAACTAGTAAAGAACAAAAATTCTCTCTGATCCACCTGGGCCTACTAATGTCCCCACCTTCTCCTGTATGAGGTTTCTGTAACCTTAAAGTTCATATCAACACAGGTTGTCGCTGCCATGTCATTGCACAGTGGCCACACCTCCCTGCTTCTGATAAAACTGCCTATCCCTGAAAAAAATGTACTGTTTAGTCAAAAAGTTTTCTTTCGGGAAACAAAATTTTCTGTATTTTTCACACAGTTGACATGGAGAGAGAAACACTCAGAGAAAGAGAAAGATGCTCAGAGAAAGCAGTCAGCTAGATACTCAAGTGAACCAAATGGGGGAAAGACGGCGATGAAGTAAATTGCCCAGGCATTTGCCATGCAGTGTCTTTAGCATTTAATGCGGGTGAAGTATTGGCAGTCAGTTTTATTAACCTCAGGTTTCTTCACTGTTATAATTTGTACTCAATAGCTTAACTGTCATTTTCTAAAGATCTTTTAACTTTACTATAAATAATACAAATATTTAACTATATAATGCAAAAAAAAAGATCCATTTAGAAAGCCACATCTCTTGCAATTAAATATATATGTATATGATGGTCTAAAAACCAGTGGCATCTGAACTATTAAGGATTATAAACTGATTTTGCCTCTATGGCATATATTATACATGATGTTTCAAAAATAAAAACTGAACCCTAAAGAGAAACTGGTTTAAAAGTATGTTTAGAATGTGTGTGTATTTTCAATCGAAGGTAAGACACTGCGTCTGGAGCATTAATTTCAAACCAATAAGCGTTTCCTATTTCACCTCCAACCCCCGGGAACAGTTCAGATCTCAGAAAATCTAAACTGAAAGTCAACGAAAACCAATTTGAGATTTTTCTGACAGACTTCACTGAAATGTTTGGACACGAACACGTTTGCAATGAGTCATAATATATAGGGCCTTAATGGCTAATGCCTTCTGTGCCTTCCTTCCTACACCAATGCCCGTCTCAGATCAGCTGCGGCTGGTTTTCCAGGCCCTGATCATTTCTATGAAGTTACCAGATCTCAGTGACTAAGGCTGCCACCCCGCGCCTTCCTCATACTGATTTGTTATGCCATCCAAACAGCCCGATTCTCTTTCTAAACGAGGACTCTCCCCAGCCGGGCAGTGAATACATTCCACCTGCGAAAGGGCGCAGGACTTTCAAGACCCCAAAGAAACGCCGAGGGGCCTAGGGAGCACTGCAAGTAAAAGGTGCGAACGGTTCCCGGGGAGTCGTCCTGGGCTAAGGCCGGCTTAATAACAGGATGTGTTCGCTGCAAGAGGAAGCGGGAGCTGCCATAGCCCGGGGTCAGGAAAGGAGGAGTCAGCAGCACCCGAAGGAAACGGGCGCGCCGGGGCTGGCAGGGACCTGGCTGGCTTAGGGTGTCTGGGTTCCAGGCGGGTCCGAGGCTGGTGACCACCTCGTTGGCAGGGCACCAGGCTCAGACCTCCCGGCACCAGCTGTGATAAAGCGGTGTCCATCTGCTCTCCTGTCACCTCCGCCAAAGATGGTCCTGGGGTGAAGGGGAAAAGGCACACCAGGCGCCGCTGCAGGTGAACTCGTGCAC